CAGTAGCGACTGAAATGGTGGCTGTCTTGATGTCGGTATTGGTTACACAGGTGTATATTTTCCAAAACTCAACCTAAATACTTATCATCTTTACATTTTTAAATTGCGTTATAATTTATATTCATTAAACAAATGGAAGTGACCTTCAAGGAGCGCTCTGTGGAAGGCGGGGCAGTGGGAAAGAGAAATACAAGCGGGTCTCTTCGCCGTGGGATTTCTCAGAGCCTTCTCTATGTTGAGGTGTTCTGTAGCTCTCGAAGGAGAGTCTGTAGGATGCAGTATTTTCTAGAACCCATTGCTCAAGAAACATTTCCTTTTCTCACATGTAGTAGCACCATAAGGCACTAATGTTTCAGAAACCGATAACTCTAGCCTGGCAAAACATTCAAGCAGCGGCTGTGAATACCAGTGCGGCCATTTAAAAATAACAAGTCAACATCTAATTTTAAACAATCATGTTCTGGTGGAACCATCCAGAATAAACATCCAGCATGTACCCCCATGGAAGGTTCATTAATCACTGGAGCAACTCTGTCCAACATAATACATTTTCTTCTGGAGTTGCAGCCTTTAACTTCCTCTGGCAGTAATTAGAGAGTAAAACCAGTCGTCTGTTGAAGAGCAAGTTTATGACAGGAAGCATCCATCAATAGAGACAACACCTACTTTTCTGTCCTCTGTAAAATACACGACTCAGACAAGGGGCATGAGGGCATTAAAACAGAAGTTAGAAAATAGAGGTCTTAGGCCAGGTTCCCCAGGAAGCTGGCGCAGACGGACTTGGGTTTGGCGGAGGTGCTGGGAAGAGCGCACCTGTCAGGAAGAGGAAGAGGCGGGACTCGCCGGGGGAGTTTAATTGTGATGCAGTAACAACAAAGGCTTCCACTGATCCCGATCCCGTGGGGAGTTCTGGGACCCGGTGGCTCCTCAGGACTGTCCAGCTCTAAGGCAAGTGAGCCAGACTCACACCCTTGCAACATACCAATCATTAGAGGTGACCTGCCCTGGAGATTTTCACAGGGAGAATCAGCTGAGAGTCATCGGCCACTCCTTCCAGCTGCAGGGGACAGGGAGTGCGCCCTTCTAAAGCGGGCGGGGCCGAGGGCCGAGCTGCATGCCAGCGTCCACTCCTGCGGCCGATCCGTTCCCCTCTTCCTCCAAGCCTGTGAGAAACCCTTCCTACCAAGTCTAAATCCCACGCTACGAGTAGGCAAGCCAAGAGCCAAGAGTTTACCCACAGTGCTTTGTCCATAACACGTATTCCTAAAACTGCCATGAAAACTGCAAATGATCGGATGGTTATTAACAAAGTTATTTCACAATATAAGCCATATACCAGGCAACTCATTGGCTAGCTTTGCCATAACTAGAAACCTAGCTGTTCTTCATGACAGATGATAGCATGAGTACACCTGATTCCTCTAAGAAGAACTAAAACACAGCAACCCTTAAAAAATTAACATCGAACAGCATTCGAGTCGCTTCCCACCCCTGCAGTTTTTTTAAATCACATATCCCCTTGCTTATTTTAATCAAACTAAATTAATATCCCATGGGACAAAGTAATGAAAAAGGAGTTCGAGATTCTAGATTTGTCCCTGATTCTGTTTTTTAATACATGCTAACAGTCAGTGCATTTGTTCCTTCAAAACATGCCTACTGAGGACTTCTCATTAGAAGATGCCATGCTTGGTACTGAAGGCACAGAGATGAAAAAGAAGTGTGCCACCTAATAAAGACAGGCATGCGCAGAGGCGCTTATCAATCAGCCACACATTCATTCAACAAACACATCGAAGCACCAGTTGTGTGCCCAACCATGAACAAGGTGAACATGGCTCTCGCCTTCCTGGGGCTTGCCCGCAGTGAGGAGTGTTAAAATGGAGACCGCAGAAGGTGCCGTAGTGTTTGTCTCCCCGTGGAAGGAGAGCTACAAAGAGCCCAGCAACCGTAAGCTCCATAACAACGATAACGGCAACTAACCTTCCGGTTCTTAAAATGTGCCGGGCGCAGATTGTAAATTTATATAACTCTCCCATCAGCCCTGAGGTAGGTATTATTTCCCATTTCCAGATGAGAAAATTAAAGCGAAGAGAGATCAGGTAGCTTCATCAAGGGCACAAAGGTGGTTAAGTGGCAGCAATGGGATTCATGGGCAACATAACTTTGGAACTGAGTCTTGAAAACCGACTAAAAGTTTGCCAGGCAGACAGAGAAGCTGGGGGAAGAGCGGGGAGCTCATTCCAGACATGGAACCGCAAGGAGGAAGGCTTGAAAATCGTTAGAAACCTGCAAGTTTGTGTGCATGTAGGTTGCTTGTGGGACAGGAACAGGTACCCCGACCGGAGACGTGGGAGGGGGCCTGTGGGGGACAGCCCCAGACGCGTCACATGCCTCACCAGGGGGAGACTGAGGGAATGTAGGCACGAGCTGATGGGCGTGGCTATTGTTTTTTAATTGGGACAAAAAGTGGCTAACGTTCGTTAAAGGCGTCGTAGAAGCCAGACACGGGCTAAAACATGTACACGCTTGCACTCATTTTAGCCTCATTATGGTTTTTTGAGGGAGGGGCGACCATTGTCTCATCTGCCAGGTAAGAATCCTTGAGTCTTAAAGGAAGCAACTAGATGGTCCAGGGTTCTACCTGCCGAAGAGTTTAGAGCCAGGATCCCACACGAAGCCTGTGTCCCAGAACGGGGGAGAGTGGCCAGGGCGGCATGCCCGCTGCCGCCCAGGAGACACACGACGAAGCCTTTCGCCAAAGCAGCGTGAGCTGTGGGCTAGGGAGGAGATCTGAGAAATGCGTACACAGAGGCGGCCCTGCAGCCGAAGCGCGGGCACTGGGAACGACGGCAGAGACGTGGGTAACTGCCCCGTGTCTGAGGAAACAGGGAGCGGAGAACAGGGGTGGAGAGAAGCGCCCAGGGCGAGCAGAGGAATGACAGGGAGCAGAGGAGGCGCCGAGGCCGAGGTCGCCTGCCGCCTGCGTCAGGGATGGAAGGCCCCTGGGGCAGCCGGAGATTTAGGTCCGGAGCAGAGGAGAGTAATCAGCTCAGAAGGTACCCGTTTGGCCCCAAACAGGTCCAAGTCAGGAGACTAGCTGCATTTGCCTGGGGAGAATGCAGAGCAAGAAGAGAAGATGGTGATGGAGAGAAACCTAGAGAAACCCAACTTTTCAGGGGAAAAAAATCTATCTCCTCTGCACAAATAAGGAGCTCTGTGTATGTGTCCACGTCCATGCCTACACTCGCCTGCCTGCTCTCGGAAACCCGGCAAAGGGCTTTCCCCCAGGCAAGCAGGCTGCCGTTGGTGTTATTCCGAGCAAACAAGTTACCCTCTTTCAGATGTGAGGGTCTGCTGAAAAAAATAAGGTAGCTGGATGGCGTATGTATTTAACCACAAATCAAGACAGTGCAAACAGTTTCGGAGTTCTCGGCCCCAGCCTGCTTGGCCTCCGGGAGCTCAAGTCGCCAACGTGGGTAATTCCACGCCAGGCGCGGGCACTGCAGGCTTCTGGAGGCAGCAACCTGCTCCCAGGGACCCGTTCCCCAGGGCGAACCCTCCTCTAGCCTTGTTGGTGTCTTCTCTTCACCCTGCACACCAAGACACATCCCAGGGCAGCTCACCTACCTTAGCCACCGGTACAAAAGGCGATTTCTCCAGTTTCTCTCTTTTTCAAACAAAGGAAAACTTCCCAATGTGAACACGTGAAAAGAGAAAAGAGAGCCTGTGCAGTCCGCCCTCCTGGCTGTCGCTACCTCGCAGTTTATGACAGAGTCAGAGGGAGGTCTGACGCCAGGGACGAGGCAGCCTGAGAGCTGGCTGGTCCATTCCCCTGGAAACCACGCGTGCCTGGGAGCCGGCAGCTCTTCTCCTTGGCTGCGCGATTTCTTTTGTGGCTCTGAGAGCGGCTTCTGGATGATTGAATGATGTGTCAGTGTGTGCCTCCCTGAGGCCAGCCACCAGGAAGGGGCAACCCTGCCGAGCAGGGGTGGGGAGGGGAGAGGAAGCCAACGGGGACCTGGGGACCTGGGGACCTGACAGCGCTGCAACTGGCTCGACCCTTCCGTGCAGTTTTTGAAGTCGGCAGAACAGAAATCAAATTACTATCGCATTATGCTGGCGGAGGCTCGGGGAGAAGGGGCTCTACACCAGCTTAATTATTACGGGAGACGGGGCGACTCAGAGAGCGGCCGTGTGTGGAAGGTGCGGAGCCGGAGGACACATGTAAGTTCTCCTAGTCTTGTGCTGTATTTTATTGCTGTGTAATTTTCTTTCTGGCTTGACATCATGCAGGGTCGAAATGCAGTCATTTGACAATGAGAATTCCTAGTGTGGAAAGTTGTTCGTCTTTGCCTAAGACTTTTTTTTTTTTTTTTTTTTTTTTTTTTGGTCTTTCATTAACGAAGCAACATAATACAAGCTGAAATTTCTGACAGCAGCCGTGGCAATTTAGCCTCAGACAGGACTATAACCCAAAGTACATTCAATTACTATGGGATTAACACTGGATGTATTTTTAATTGACTTTCTTAATGTAGAAGGCATGCTACCCCGCTGTTTTGGATTGCATGCTATTTTAATCCTGCGGCGGCTAGCCTAGTGTGAGCAGCGTAACCCACAGAATGAGATAGAGATGAAGGAGATTCCTGGTAGTTACAAACTTTTCTTTTTTGGCCAGGATCACATTTTTCTCCCCGAATGCTCAAAACTCTGCAACCTCTATGCTAAAAGTTCATTCTGCTTTTTTTGACCTTGTTTTGGAGAGCACAATGAAACGAAACAGAGGACTCCACTAAAATTGTGAAGGAAGGACAAATAAAGAGTCACTGCGGTTCTTTAACTCCTGTTGTAAGCATGGGAGGAAAAAAGCCGGCCCCAGGAGCCCAGCAGGTCTACCAGCGTCAGGGTGACCGAGTGTGGGGACATAAAAATGGATGGTGAGCAGAGCCTATATCTCGTTTTTCTACACTTCATCTGCCGCAAGTTCCGGCGTAGCCATGGATATTCTTTGTGAAGAAAACACTTCTTTGAGCTCAAGTGCAAACTCCTTAATGCCACCGAGTGATGGCACAAAGCTCTACAGTTACAGCTGTAACTCTGGGGAAGCTAACACTTCAGATGCCTTTAACTGGACAGTGGACTCGGAAAATCGAACCAACCTGTCCTGCGAGGGCTGCCTCTCGCCGCCCTGCTTCCTCCTTCACCTCCAGGAGAAGAACTGGTCCGCCCTGCTCACGGCCGTGGTGATCATTCTCACCATCGCGGGAAACATACTCGTCATCATGGCTGTGTCCCTAGAGAAAAAGCTGCAGAACGCCACCAACTACTTCCTGATGTCACTTGCCATAGCTGATATGCTGCTGGGTTTCCTTGTCATGCCCGTATCCATGTTAACCATCCTCTATGGTGAGTGGCGTTAGTTTCCCAGCCGTACCCACACCAGTTGTGAAGAGCATGTGCATGTCATTAGCAGATGAGCCAGGGCTCAGGGGCAAAATAAACACAAGGCTCTGTTAATAAACAAGGGGACCGTGTTACGCTAGTTACTCAAACTTCAGTCTTAAAATGGGGTTTCGCGTATTTAAAAAAAAAGAAAAAAAAGCAGACAACCTATTACCTGTGATCACTGGAGAGTTCTGTGCTCAGAAATATGTCCGTGTTACGTAGAAATGATTATAAATGCCCCGATGGAGTCATAAAGCAGTAACTTCTCTGTCATCCTGAACTCACTTGATTTCCACTCCTTTCTATTCCAAAATATCCCAGCCTTTGGGACAGAGCAGTTTAATCTTTGTCACAGTTTTCGGTACTTGCAGTGAAGTGAGAAACCCTTCCCAATTACCTTGGAACATTTGCAGAGGAACATCGTGGCGCAGTGGGTTTAATGTTAAAATATGCAGAGTCTCCAATAGGATAAACGAATTACTCCCGGATTCATTGTTCCCTGCCCAGAGAAGCTCATTTGGACCGCTGCCTTTGAATTATGCCCACAACTCTTTAAAAATGCATATGCATAAGCTCTGCGGGCCTGGTGTGGAGGAGGGTGGAAAACGAACGGGAAGAGGTTAATCTTGCTTTCTTCTCAACAGAGTTTCAAAGAGTCAGACCTCTGAGCGAGTCAGCCACCGCCGGGGCGGCTTCGGCTGGGAGCAGAATGTGATATTCTTTCCAAATTATGAGTAATTCAGCCAGATTTCTCCTATGAGGGAGACAGACTGAGAATATTGAGACCGCTGACACAGGCATGCAGAGCTAGACACAGGTTGAGTGCTGTCTTTCAGAGGGGATTTTCTGGCCAAGTCCCCGGGGCTGAAAACCTGTCTCGGTCCAGCCCCGGGGCGCGGGTACGGGGAGGTGAGCGAGGGCGAGCACGCGCGGCTTGCGCGGGCTGGGAGGGCTCCTTGCAACTCCAGCCCTCTGGGCCGCTGCACGGTCACAGCCGGACCACTCCGTTCGATTCGCCTGTCGTTTCCCGGACACGCTGGAGAGGTCCCGCCTGCCTAAAACCGCACCCCCAGCCGAGGCCAACTCCAGGCGGGGCGCGGGGCGGGCGGGGGGGGGGCCGCCTCTCCACAGGGCCTGTCCGGGAACCCAAGCGCCGAGGGAGTGGGGGGAAGCCCCCGAGCGGCAGGTGGAGGGGGGCGGGGGCGGGGGCGGGGCAGGCACCAGCCCGCCGGTTCGGAAGCGGGGACCGCCCGGAGCCTCCGGCTCCGGGGGCAAGGGCGCCCCTGGCGGCAGCCGCCCCGCGTGCAGCAGGTTCCCGCCCCGAGCGAGCTCTCCCAGCGGGTCCCCCGGGGGCGAGGAAACGCCCCCTCCGTGTAGCCGCTGCGGAAACCCGTACTGAGGCCTGTGGCTGCCCCGGGGCTGAGAAGGCGCCTCGCGGGGCCAGCATCAGTTCCGACCAGCTGAGCAGGGCTTCCCCCCCAGGGGTGGAAAAAGCTCTCCTTTCAGCTCCAGCTTCCTGCAACGATCTGCTGTGCAGGGCTCCAAGTTAGGCTTGCCTTCTGCAACCTTTCCTTTCCTGCTTACCCGTGGCTGCCTTTGAGGAGAGACCGTGTATTTGAAACATGGAGTTTGTTCCGCTCTGTGGGTCTGGACTATTGCAAAGAAAGGGTGGTTTTTATAATTTCCCCTCTCACGTGCACACAGAGCTGACACCATTGCTTATACAGGGCGCCCTGCTTCTGTCGATGCAGCAGAGGCTCGTTCCCTAATTCGGCAGGTGACCCCTCAGCGGTTCTCCCAGTCCAATCACGGATTCTTCTCCAAAGCTCCAGGCCGGCTCCCATGCGAGGCCAGGAGAACCGGGGCCTAAACAGCAGTTGCCCCCAGGGGTCCCTGGACCAGCAACAGCAGCACCCTGAGCTGACAGGCTCTTGCCCCGCCGCAGATGAACAGAACCAGAGCCTCAGAGGCAGGCCCCACCTGGGCGCCGGCACACTCGCTGCCGCTGAGAGCCACCACCCTGGCCCGACGCTCAGGACCAGGACGGCGGGCTTTACTTTACCATCCTCTCTACCTCCACCCCCGCCCCCCAAACCCCGCATTTGAGTTTAACCCCCAAAGCATCATGGGGTAATTATCTTTCATTTTCATAAGTAAAGACACAGCCTCATTCTGGACTTTTCAGTCATTTATTCCTTCACGCCAGTCGCATTTCTTGAGAGACTACTAAACGCCACCCCGGGGTAAGACTGAGCAGTTGCAACGGTGACTAAGGGATGGGCCTGCCCCGCTGGGGAAACCTGAAATGGGTGAGGAAGTAAGGACGGTGCACTGGGGGGGCGTCAGGGGAGGAGCCAAGAATATGCCATAGCTTATGGCCTAAGTAAATTAAAAACAAAAACATAAACAAAAAGATATGTTCTGTTAGGCAGAAGAGAGTGAAGGAGGCCCCAAGAAGATCCTGTTTACCCCAACACACTGACACAGCTCCAGCCGAAAGGACGTTTCAGGCCTGGGCTCACCAGCCAGTGACACTTTAATGGCAGGTCACGGCAGTCGCCATCGGGCTTTTCTGAGACAGTGAAAACAGCTTCTGCTGCCCTTGGCCGCCACCTGTGCCTTCCCCGGGACAAAAGTGTCACAGCTCCGGAGAACACAGGGGCCGGGGGCGGCGCCCGCCACTCCCTGTCGCTGACACTGACCTTCCGCCCCTAGGTTACCGGTGGCCGCTGCCCAGCAAGCTCTGCGCGGTCTGGATTTACCTGGACGTGCTCTTCTCCACGGCCTCCATCATGCACCTCTGCGCCATCTCGCTGGACCGCTACGTCGCCATCCAGAACCCCATCCATCACAGCCGCTTCAATTCCAGAACGAAGGCGTTCCTGAAAATCATCGCTGTGTGGACCATCTCCGTAGGTAAGTTGGGAACAACACCGCAGAGTCTCGTTTGAAATGGCGGTTTGCGCCTTCCAAGGAGACGCGTTCTGCTTTGTTGCGCCAAAACAGAACATCCTGAATGTCTTGTTTTGTTTGTTGCAAGATATGGGGCAACATCGTCATTATCAGATTGGCTTTAGGAATGAAACATCCATTCGTGTCACTGGCTGACAGTATAAATTCGCATTGCTTTGCACAACGAAGGATGCCTATACCAGTCGAGTCAAAGTCAGAAATAACTGTGACTTCCCGCCTTTTAAACCTTTTCCCCCATCTCACACTTTCAAATTCGCTGCTCTAAATTTTGAGCTCCCCAGATACCTCACCGTGGACTTGTGGTCGGCATGAGGACACAGAGCCCCAAACTAGAGAGCTCAAAACTTCCAGGGCCTAGGCATCAGGTGCTGTAACTCAGGGGGAGCAGGAGCAGGGCGTGCGTTCGAGGTCGGCATTTCAGCCTGCCTGGTGCCTCCGCACCCCTTCCTTCTTTTAGGATGCCTCCCTCCAAAAGAGGTCAACCCGCTTCCCTGGGGTTGGTGACACAGAGTCACGTGTAGCCAGCACCGACCTTGCGTCACACACCTCACAGTCAGGCAAGCCCAGGTCCCGGAAGCTTTGGGCCGCCAGGCCACCGCACTGGTCACCTCAGCAGGCTTGGTGTGTAACGGAAGCTCCCCCCCCAACCCGGGATTTGTTTTAAAGTCGCAAATCTTTGAAGGCAGAAATGCTGTACCTGCTGATGTCAGTATCTATTAATGTGAAAGACTATGGGATTTGATGGCAGACCTGAGTGTATCCGCAGCTTTGTTACCAGAATGCAAATTTATAACAAGCCAGCCATGTAATATCTGAAGTTTGGGCTCCTCGTGTTCGCCTTGCGACTTAGGGCGTAACCCGCAGAGCAGGCAGATCCATTCTGCAGGGGAGGAAATTGGGGGTCAGGAAGTGCAAGGCGCGCAGCGAAGTTTTTGTTTGATGATAATGTGAATACTCGCGAGTTATATTTGCATGGTTCTTGAAATCTGGAAAGGTCTTACCTGCTTTCTGTTTTAAACTACGCGTGGCAGCCTGAGGGGGGCGAAAATGAAAGGCCTTGCCACCCTTATTGGACGGACGAGGGCCGCGCACGGAGACCCGAGCTAGGGCCTGCCATCCGCAGAGGGGCTCGCCCCGCAGCCGCGCCCTGCCGACTGCGCGTGCACCTCCCCTCTGCGGGAGTGGCTCCTGCCCCCACCCCGTTTGTGGTTCCTGGGCCGGGGCAGCCAAGGACCCCTTCTCGTAGGAGCGAGACCATGAAAACCGCAGAGACCATAAAGGAACTTACAGACCTAGCTGGCTGCAGGAGAAATGGGAAGTTTGTGTGGCTAAAATCAAACTCTTTTTGTAAGCAAACTCAAATGAGAAATATTTCAGTGTATATGAAAAAGAGGACAACGATTGATCTCTTTAACATACGTTTTGATAAAACAGTGAAAAGGCAAACAATCCAAGAAAGAAATAAACTATATGAAAAGGATATTCACAGAGACATAACTTAAATGGACATTAAAGCACATGTAAAAACGTTTAGCCTCTTTAATAGTCGTGGAAATGTAACTTGAGATGATAATGCAGTACCATTCTTACCCATCTGATGGGCAAAATTCAAATGAGTGAAAACAGACGGTATGGTTTGGTTCACGGGTCCCCAGGTACTGTCATAACCAGTGTGTGTGGTATGAGTGGTTTGTTCTTGGACAGTCGAGCAGAAATTTATTAAAATCTCACCTACCATTCCCACGAGAGTACCTTTTCTACAAAAAAAACCCCCAAAAGTACATACAAGAATCTTTAACACAGCAATTTGGGGGAATAGCAATTTTGGAAAGAGTGGAAAGGTTAGGTTATGGTCAGATATGATTGGGTTATGGTCATTTTTATCTAAATGATGGATTATTTTGCGGCTGTTAAAAATAGGAAGTCGGAGTTATTTGATATTCATGGAAGAATGCCCATGATGTTAAGTGCAAAAAGCAAGTTTTGGAGAGGTGTGCATGATCTGAGCACAGTCGGATACAATAATAATAGTAACGATGTATAAAGATAACTAGGTATTAGCACGGAGAAACTGCTAAGAAATCCCACATTTGCCACGAAGGCGAACTTGAAAAGAATGGCAGGACTGTTGTATTGTCCCTTCTGTACTTCTGTATAGTTCTGTCACAAATACGATGACGATGGTGACGAAGTGCTGTGGAAAACTCGGTTTCACCTGCCAGTGGGAGGGAAGGCTTTGAGGAGGAGTGGCTGACCTTCAGGGTCTGCGAGGATGTCGCGGCTGCAGCCGGGTCACCGATCACCGATCCCTCAGCTTTCTCACTCTAGTTATTTCTGAGAGGGGCCGCTTCCTGCCCGCTGCTCGCTGCTGCCGGCCTGGTCACTTGACTTTTCCCAAGCCTTCCATCTAATGCCGAGGAAAATGAATACAATTACAAATGAGCCCCATTTTCTATTCGCGAGCTTTCTATTCTGAGCAACGGAGCAATGAGAGAGGAGACCGATGCATTCAGTTAAGAACGGTCCCCGGATCCTCTGTGCACTTCATCTTCCCTTCACAAGCCCGATATTCATGACCGGAGGGGTACCTGCAACTTCGCTGCATGATACACAGTGAGCAAACCCTTCCTCACGGCGTTGGCTTTGCTGCTGCCACAGGAGAAAAGGAAAAGGATGCTTCTTATTCCTCAACCATCTGTAGCAGGTAAAGGCATAAATCAGGCAAAAAAAGAAAATGACTGTTTTCACATTGTCATATTTTGACAGGCAAGCAAAGATACCAATTTAAATTTTGTTGCACTTATTTCATTTCAGAAATATATTTGTAGTTCATGGAGGAATTTTGAAGTATAACGGCTCTGAAAAGATTTGTTCCTCCCCTCAAAGCCAAGCATGACCACGTACTTTGTGCATTATTCCTCTCAAAGAGAAAACGCGAGCTGTGCCACATTGATTTGGGGCCTGTACCTTTCCAAACTGTGACAACAGTGCCTCAGTTCTAAACTCAGTGCCCAGGTCTCTGGGTGGCCCGTCTGGCCCTCGGGAAGGAGGCAGCCCACCTGCCCGCCTGGACAGGGCAGATGCGTTAGGAAGCTTCGAGGGACAGTGGACAGGATGTATCTCACCGTAGTTTTAGTTTGCAGTTTTTTTATTTAAGATTTGGAGCATCTTTCCATGTTTAAGAGCAAAGTTGTGTTTTGATTTCTACAGTTGTTGCTCACAGTTTTTTGCTGTAGAACTTGGTGTTGATCAGCAAGAAGCCTGGGTTCAGATGATTCATTCTGCCACTTACAAACTGTGTGATCGAGAGCAAGTCACTGAACCTCTCCGTACCTTTGGTTTCCATGGAATGAATGATGGTAGTAACAGCACCTATATTACGAGGCCATTTTAATGATTACGTGAATCAATACTGTGTTTGTATCATAAGTGTTATAAGTTCACATTATTTGAACTCTTTTCTGTCAGGTTCTTGGTTTTTTCTAACGTGAATTTGGGGGATTCGCTCTTAGGCTGTGTTGTCCCACGTTTTTTATGCATTCTCCGTGTGCAACTTGTCACTTAACGTGGCTTATGGTGGCATTTCCCACAGGGATTTTTATTTTTATGTATGAATGGTTTTTCTCCTTTACAGCTTCTGAATGTGAAATCATTACTAAAATACCCCTTTCCACTACAAAATTACAAAGGAGCCCTTCCATATTTTCTTCCATGACTTTGATGGTTTTGTTTTATAGCTTTGTCTTTAAATGAAGTAGAATTTAATCTGTGACTTAGTTTTATTTTTTCTACCTAGCAGCTTATGCCAGTACCATTTATTTCCCCATTGGTTTGATACACCATCCTTACCACATACCGAGTTGCAATATATGCAGGGTAGGGCAAAAGTGGGTTTACAGTTGTGAGTACATGAGTTTATTTTTGTATTGTTACATAATAATTATTGTATTATTTTCTATAGGAACAATTGTGAACCTACTTTTGCCCCACCCTGTATTTAGATTTGTGTCTGGACTTTTTCTGTTCTAAATACCAGTCTGTCTTGCACCTGCTTTCCATCCAGGATGTAGAATTATGGCTCCCTTATCTCTTTGATCTGGTAGCCTTCCACTGTTCTTTTTCAGACTTTTTTCAGCCATTTTCATTTGCTTCTTATATGAGTTTTAGAAACTCAACTTCTATTAGCTTCTATTGGAAAAAAATAATTGCTTTTTATTGGAATTGTGTGTAACTTTATAAATCAACTCTTTAGACTGTTTGGCTGGCATACGTAGGTACTGGTCTGGTTTCTCTTTCTTTTTTTTCTCTATTCTTTTTGGAGTGGGCGAGCAGCCTCAAATTCTATATGGAATGAAGTGAATATATGTAAACAAATGGAATTACTAAAAATCTTAACACTGAGGGTTTAAAAATTGCATGTACATTTAGGTCCAAGAGGAATGATCATTCAATATGCACGCTTAATTTTTCTATCATACCATATTTTCTGAGGGAAATGGTTAGAAAAATACAAAACAAACCAGCTGTACAAAATCGGCCCAGAACCAGCCGGCACTCCAGGGGCCTGTCTCGGAGGTGCGGCCTGAAGCAGAGTGTCTGGGAGCCTGCCTGGGGGCCCTGCTCTGGGGCCAGGCAGGTTCCTGTCTGCCTCGCTGAGCGCCAGGTCGCAGCCTGAGGAGCAGGCGCCAGAGACCCGTCAGGCACCTGTTCCCGTCCCAGTGCTCAGAGACCCCCGGTCGGTGAGCCCCTCGCCTGCCGGATGCAGAAGGAGCCTGGTGAAGGATTAGCCTAATGGGCCTTCCCCTTGGCTTCCCCAGCTCCGCGTTCTCTCTCCTGGGCGCAATGGCGTGGCCTTCCCCTTTGTTCTGTCTTTCTGCCCGGCCACATTGCGTTCTCCTACCTTGCACTGAAGGGGGGCCCGCCCAGCCTGCCGTGGAGGAGGC